TCATATAGATTGAGTGATAACTTTTGTCGTTCAAGCGTTCGCAGATTCAACATTGGGAAACAAGGGCCATAACTCACGGCGTAATTAACGGAAATTGCTGAAATTGAATAGGCTACTTCGTTTCACTAATTTAAATGATGCATATCAATTTCAAACAGATCGGATGATAACTGTTGTCATTAGAGCGTTCACAAGATTCAACAAAGTGAAACATAACTCTAGATGTAACTAATGGAAATTGCTTAAATTCAATAGGCTTCTTTGTTTTACTAATCTTAATGATGCATATAAATTTCATACAGATCGGTTGATAACTGTTGTCGTTAGAGCGTTCACAAGGTGCAACAAGGTGAAACAAGGGCCATAACTCCAGAATAAATTAACAGAAATTATTGAAATTAAATAGGCTTCTTTATCTCACTAATGCAAACAACATATATCAATTTCAAAACAATCAGATGACAAATTTAGTCTGTAGAGTGTTCACAAGAAATTCTGGACGACGGACGGACGGACGGGGCGACGGCAATATACGACCACATTTCCATGTGGGCGTATAAAAAAGGATAATCGAGACTATGCTTTTATCGTACCGACTTTAGTAATGTTGATCGAGGCTAGGCTCAAAATTCGATCGCTTAATACCGGTACTCGGTTCAGTGTGGATCAATTTGACTGAAATTTTCAGCAAATTCCCTATCATTATCTAGTGTTTAACACATCATTATCTAGTGTTTAACTATTATAATGAGAACTACCAACCCTTTATCTAATCTCCCATAACGTATCTTTCTTTAAGTCGCCATAGAGTTTTTTCCCAGTGCCGAATTTAACATGGTACACAAAATTGGAAGCCAACAATCAGTGACCCAAAACATATAATATATATATAGATGTAAAAGTTAAATGTTCATGGCTTACGTCTTCAACATTCTTTAAAAATAACAAACTGAAGAATGGTAATGAATTTATATGAAGACCAATCTCCAGTTTGTTATTTTTAAATAATATTTTCAGTGCTTAGGGGCCCTGGAGGTCTTTAATCCGGGCCTGCCCGCAATACATTCTAAACGTATAGTTGAGTTGTTTCCAACTGCTAAAGACCCCTATGCGCAAGCGAAATATTAAAATTAAAATTAAACATGTCGCATGGAAACGTTTACAAGATGGTTCCTTTATTTTGTGCTTTTAGTTATTATTTGCATGCGGTGAGCAATTAACTAGGTGACAAAAAGGCGACATTATTTGTCCAGACGTTGATCATTTCTGAGTTATTGTCTCATCTGATACTAATTGTAGTAATATTTTATAACCTACTTCCTGTCATAGATAAAAATTTAACGGTATATAGTGAAATGAGAATAATTGTTCATATAATTTATAGTGAAATGAGAATACTCGTTCATATAATTTATAGTATTTCTATAGTAGATAGGCCCTACTACTTTAACTGTATTAGACCAATTGTCTGCGATATCACCTCGGTGGAAGCGGACGTAAAATACAACTAACCCATCATCATCAATTGGTGTTTTGCGTAAGGACCAAATTAGAAGGCAATCACGGTGGATCAGAGAGTAAGACGGTTACAAAACACCGAAAAATGCAGAAAAACCTCCGAAAATATTTTTGACAAAAAAAATCAGAAAAACCCTGAATACCGAAAAATCACTAAATACCGAAAAAAAATCACTAATTACCGACAAAACCCTACATATCAAAATACTGAAAACTTAGGGACCCCATTAGGTTCCCTGGCCCCCAAGTCCATAAAGAAAATGCCGTTCTGAATGGTGTAAAGAGAAGAAATTGCCGTCTGAATAAACCCTAACCCTTATCTAGAATTCCCCACACTTATTATAAGTGACCTAGCCAGACCCATAACCCACCTAAGTGCCCCACATGCGTGGCCTACCGTGACCCATTACCCACCTAGAGTGTCAATCATTTTCATGCGTGGCCTGGAGTTCCCCACAATTTTTATACGTGGCCTAGCCCGACAGGACAAGTTTTATGCGTGAACTTGTGTTGTTGGTTTTTTTTCTATATTAGTGAGTTTTCGGTATTTAGGTTTTTTTTTTCAGATTATGAGCTTTTAGACCCATTTTCATCTATTTAAAGATTCAAAGAAAAACGTTAATATATTTTTAGTTTAATGAACGGGCTATATAAATTTCAAAGTCTATATAAATCACATCTCGTAATCATAGACCTGAACAAATGCTGTTTCAAAAACATGGTTTCTTTCAACAGACTCTGTAGTTCGTTGATAGAGCAAAGTAAACATAAAAGATGACTGTTTGTGTAAAGTATTCTTAAAGTATTTAAATCTTTAAAAGATCAGAAAATTGTTATTATACATGTCATGTCTTGAATTGATCAGAAGTAATGATTTATGTTAAGGCTCAATATGGTTCCTATTTCAAATAGTTCTATTCACAGACTGGTTTTAAAATGACTTTAATTGGTACGAAAATTTACTCCGATATTATATTGACATTCACATAGCTTATAGACAAATATGCACAAATGGAATGAATATATCACTTATAATCAATAGCGAAGCCTGTTATAACACCAAAATTAAACACACAAAAAGATTAAATCCACGAAATTTTTAATTAGCAAAAGGCCCATCTATTACTATAATACGTTGGTGTGTGTATAAAGTTTCATAAAAATATGGTATATGAAATATGCTCAGGAAACAACAGCCGGGACGCAAGAACGGGGCCATTTCAATATCGCCCGGCGCTAGAAAAAACACATTGCAGTACTCCGGAAATAGTAGGCATATATCCGATGTCGTGTATAATTTGTGCTGTATTGTTGTATTCTGAAGCCTGATCTTCTATCACAGCCAGACTGACCATCTGCTAAAGCCAGACTGATCATCTACCACGACCACAAATAAAAACGAAGATGTGTGTGTATTGTTTGAAAGTGGATAGTAAAGTATGTTCTGATGTGTAGATCAAGCATTAAAACCACTTCGTTTTATGCTGCAATTAAGGGAATTTCTATTCATGGTATGATTGACAGTATACATCCGGTTCGTGTTACAGTACATTTAGCTATAGCTCGTCTAATGTTTCTGGTTTGTTTGCAAGCTTCTATTAAGGTCAATCGCAAAATAAATGAATTAAGAGTGTGCTAGCAAAGCTAATGACAATCTTCAACGTAAAAATACCCTCTTATGTACCACACGCCCTCGTCTGTATCATGCATATGCGGAAATATTCGCCCCAGTTCTTCTGCACCCTGGAAGTTGTAATGTAAAAACATCCAGTAATCGTAAATTGCTAACTTTTCCTTTCTGTTACTAGCACATATCTTGTTCGTTTTTTTAAAACCCATTCATTTTTTTATACTTTATATTTGACAACTGGTGTTTGTAAAGTTAGAACTTGCCTTAACCAGTTTAACTAGACACATTTCTTAAGGTTATTTTCTTTAATTATATTAAGGACAAGTAAATCATTGTCAAGGGATGGATCAGGCTGTGTTAGCGCATAAGATAATAGATATACATATAAACTATTAAATGGTAATTACTATTATACAGTAGGATCCCACGAGATATATAATAATGTGTATTCTTAATAAACCAGTGGTGTATAATACTTCCCATACATAACTAAATCATCTATAATTTACGAAATTATATTTTATAGACGACCAGACGAAAAGCCGTTTTTCTGAAATTATTGATAAAACCTCATTCAAGGAAGAGACGGGAATGATAGGACAGGAGTCTTGTTCCTGCTTTTAAAAGGACCCAACCTCTATGTACAGCACTATCTATTATTTGATGTTTGTAATGAATTGACGTGTGGATGTAATTAAATTTGATGTGTTTTACGAAGTAGGTTTATGTCTGTCTTTACAACTTTTGATCTGTATACATAGCCAATATTAAGATGTAAGTCGATACATCAAACAGACTTTCAAAACAAACTAATACGAGCGTATAATATATGAACTTTAAGGTCTTGTAAAATCACAATTACAATATAAATTTTAATATCTTAGATGGTTCAGTTTATATGTTTTCGATATTCAGACTTATCGTCAAAATATAGTATGTATTTTAAAATTTCAAAAATACGCGAATTACCACCCAAGTCCGTCTTATATCTTTTCGATATTCAGACTTATCGTCAAAATATAGTATGTATTTTAAAATTTAAAAAATGCGCGAATTACCACCCAAATCCGTCTTGGCCTTGTTAATTATAGTTTAACTACTAACAAGTGTACCGCCGTATCGGTCGGTATCTGTAATTATAACAAGGTGATCCCCGCCATTCTGGTGCCGGTAGCTAATTATAAAGGATCAAGGTGTAGAACAAAATACGATTCATAAACAACCCAAATCTCTTACTTATTAGATCGCTATTAAATTATCCAAGAAGACGAGCCCATAAATATCAAGTCGATATCCAATTGCTTAATAATAATAGTAATGCATTCTGGCTTTTGCTCATTGATGTCAAAGGTTTATATCGTATCGGGTTCCTAGGCGATCGGATGTCTGTCTCATTTATGAACGGATCGCTTGTAAAGCACATTAATATCAGATATATAATTCATGTTCCACAATATCATAACCAATTATAATAACCGTACTAGTCAATATTTCTTCAAACTTGATAACACTAGGGACATTTAGTCTAATGCATATTTCCTATTTATTATACCAAATACTCAATATTTCATATCAGTTATCAGAGAAACCAGTCTCCAAAAGCCTAAAATGTTTAATTATTCCGAAGTAATGCCAGTGATCTGTGGATGTAAAGTATGGCTCACATTGTTAAACCTATGAATGAAATTGAAATGACAAAGAAACGGTTGAATTATCTGGTTTTCAATGATTCAGACTTAAACTGTTTGATTTGTGTATGCTCGAGGAAGTATTAATTTTGTAAAAAATGTCAATGTTGATTAATTTAAATTCATGAGACAGCAATCAGTAAGAAATACACACGTATACAAACCTTTACGTATTGTGGTTTAACATTTCTTCTAACATGTGTTTGACCTATAGAAACCATCACACTGTTTAGAAAATCAGAGTCTTCTAAACTTTCCACAGCAGCACCCAAACCTTCCATCACTGTGACTGCGTGTTTCTGTAACATTTCTCGATCCATTTGCCATTCTAGTTGATTGGAATCGTTCATTTGTACAATTTTAGGAAACAAAGCTTTCATATCTGGTTCTGTCTCAAAAAATCTGAAATATATAGTAAAACATATTGCAGAGTAAGGTATTTCACTATAGTGTTCGATAAATCAATACCATGAAAACCATGCTAAAGATTTGAGAATCGAAATGTTTATAGCTCGGCGACGGTTTCGTAATTCTTTTCTCAACTGGTGCACGTCATAGCTATATATTCAAATCGTGTCAAATCAGAAATGATTTTTTTGTTTAATAAACTATAATCATCGCTATAAACTATAAAATTAATAAAAACAAGGGATTACACGGACTTTTTCTATCAGCTGGAGTTTATTAGAACCGCTGCTGGGAGGGGGGGGGGTGTATATTAGTTATGAATGTCTGGTCTATGGTGTCGAATGATGTAGATGTCGTGCTGTCTAGATTTAAAATATCATTATACACATTGACAAGTCCTATGCTGTGCCGAGATCTATGTGGACTTTGAAATTTTTACTTCACTAAGATTGTTTACACTGAAATGGATTTGCAGTTGATAAGCAACTACTTTTTTCCAAAAGGTGTAGTTCATCATTGTGTTGGCATCAATGTTAAATATCTTTAGAAGAGGACGAACCGATGCTACTCTTAATTTATTTGAGAATTAATTGTTTATGATGTGTTATCTAACCGGCAGATGTATTCAAATAAAATCAAATGAAGTGTTCAACAACAATTTTATTAAAGTTTCTTTTCTAGGTAGGCTACTTTTGCACAATTATTTGCTACAATAAAACCTAAACACATTTGTCATAGCGCCACTTAAACGCCTTCGGCAATGGCAATATAAAACCATATAAAAAGATATGGTTTGGCACAGCTTCTGCGCCAAATTACAAATAATAGGTAAAAGAAGAGTAAAGCGGTAATGATTTTTATTAGGTTCATGGATGGTCATTACACGGATTTCATGTCGTCAATCCATTAGTTATTTTCTGTACTTATTTTTCCTCGGATAACAACCAACCTAGAATCAACCCTCTGGAAATTTATTCGTAGAGATAAAGCCACAGGGTTACTGACAAAGTAGTAATCAGGTTAAATCTTTTGACAAGAGCCTTAAAGACAATTGTATTTGCCTTTATTTTAATTACGCCATTGATGAGACACCGGCTGTAAAAATACAGGATTCCCATATAATGGCTGTTAGAATAGATATTTACAACCTGTCCAGTCACGCATATTAACGGCGAGAACTTGCCGTAAACCAAATTCAATTTGGGTTGTGAAAATTGCAGCAAATAAGTTTAAATTAGAAGATTTGCTGGCCTTGTTGTAAGATTACGGGATTGACAGCGAAAGGTTTGACGAGTGGAAGTTGTAAATCTATAAATAAATACTCCTTGGTTTGAGACATTTCAAGGCTGTGTACCGGTGTTATCTCAATAGTTGTAAATGGAGCTAGTATTGTTTGTTTTTTCTTTTCAATTTGAATGTCAACTCTTAATCTGTGGTAGCAAGGGTGTGATCACCGTTTGAACATGTTTAGTCAGGACTCCCTAGACTATCATAATGTGATTACTAATATCATAATTTTCAGAACGAACCACTGCTGAAAGGTATTATAGATTATTCTATAATTAGGGAATGTTTTGTAAAATAAAGTTCTCAGACTTGGAAATCAAACAAAAAAAAAACCCAAACGATATAACAACCGAAAGTACGGTTATTATCGATTATTTTAAGAAACCTAGAAATATTTAAGATCGGGGTCCAGGTGCAGATTAAATTGAAATTAACTGATGTTCACCCCTTATTGCTGTCACCAAGCGCTTAAAATAACCCTGCGAGGGGCATAGGCAATAAACATAGCGGATCCCCAAAATGGTTGGATAGACGATAGAGAATATTTGAAAGGGTAAAGCTGAATTTTGAGAGAACAAACAACTTATTAGGATTCCTTAGATTTATATCCCAAAAATGGTTGGATAGACGATAGAGAAAATTTGAAAGGGTAAAGCTGAATTTTGAGAGAACAAACAACTTATTAGGATTCCTTAGATTTATATGCGTTAAAGACATACACTTATCAAAAAAAAAAATAAACATATACTTAGCTGGGTACATTGGATAATTGTTTCACTCAATATTCTACAGTTTACTTTACAAAAAGAACTATTGAAGAGAGTGTCAGTGTTCTTCGTTATCTTGACCCATTAGCGGAAACCAGGGCATTAACGTATGTTCCCGAAAATTATTAACGTGTCATAAATTCTTAACTAATAAAGGCACTTAATTTGAGTACATTTAAGTAACCAGACCGTTAAAATATTGATGTCTATGTCGCACAAAGATCAACTAGAGCTCTGTAAGTTTTTAAGGAAAGCGTTTTGATTGAATTAAGACGATAAAGTTTGATATGATATCCCAGCCGTGTTGTGCTAGTCTGGACACCATTAATTATTTAATATCGGGTTAGTGCTAAACTCAAGCTGGATAAGTATTAACAGCAGTGTAAGAGATCAAACTACTTAACATTGATCTTGATCTAGCTGGTTTCATCTAAATCATGTTAACCAATCACCTAATACGTCCACCGTCAGTAGAGTCATCTGTTCTTGCTGTAAAGCCACTGTCAACAAATTCAAGTTTTACAATTTACGATTAAAAAATTCCACCGCAACCTCGCTTATGTATTGGTCTACCTCAATGAGCATTCTGACCAAGAATAACATTCCATCGAGACCTCTCTAATGTATCCTTGTGCCCCAATATTCCGCCCATGCAAATAAAACATTCCTTCAAAGGAATTTATTACTATCAACGTATAAAGGGGATAAATCTGTGTTTTGTAATCTTAAAATTCTAGATGTCGACTGGGGTCTTGCTTTTGCTTGTGACCCAATGAACAATTCTCGGAATTTGACTTTTAGTAGAATGTTGGCAAAAAAGTGTGGACTGACGACGGACAAAGGGAACGACAATATACGCCTACATTTAACGTATACATAGAGAAATGACCACAAAGTTTTATTTTAAGCCGATATATTTAATAAGAAGAAGATTTTGAACCTCAAAACTGCTTATCCGGACACGTAACCCTTTTAAGATTTGGGGTCAATTTTTTCGTTAGGTGACCTGATATTCGATTCCCGTTCCTTTAGAGGTCTATACAGTGAATGACCCCTGTGCTGTACTTGATAACGAAAGGTAAATTTCACCCAAACATTATTTGTATAAAATAAAAGTCTAATTTTATACAGACACTGCATAATACAGCTTTGGACACCAGTCTCCATTTCCAGATTAAAACTGACGGGTTTAAGTTGTTTGAAAACATGTCACCTATTTTGAGTTTGTTGCTCGGCTCTATGGTAGAGTGTTTTAGGGATTTTAACACAAAATTAAGCAGGTTTATTCTCCAAAATATTATCGGGATTGGCCCTTTAAGGATGGGATTTGAATTGAGCAGAAGAAAAGGTCGGACAAAATACAAACCAGTACTCTTGTTTTTGCATATTTATAGTAAGAGCTGATTGTAGAATTAGGAACAGTTTACGATGCAAATTAGATAAACACCTAGAAATATTGCTGATTGAAGAATTTAAGATAAAAAGAAGATGGATGTAAAAACACAGAAATAACGACAAAAATTGAATAACGAAAAGTTCAAGTTAATGTTATTTTTCAAAATCTGAATGAAAGCTAATTCAGAATTACCTCACCATCGCCTTCTCTTCCCAACAGAGATAAGCACTACAAAAACTTCTACTACAAATAGATTCTGTGATCATTCTGTGTATATGGTTGATAAATGAAGTCCCCTTCATTTAATTAAAACTTTAAGCTACTCTAACACAGACAAAAATTGTAATGGTGATCATAGACAATTTTGTTACAAAAAAATGAAAGTTACGATCTCTACTTATAACGAACCATATTCTTAAAGGAATATCTTATAAAGATCTCCGTCATTGTCCTTATAGTAAAACTAAATCAAATAATGCATTTCACCTTTCAACTTACGTCATCGGGTTCTATTGAGTGTTTGATGGTAGCTTCGATTTTCATCTATTTCAAAATGTCACATATTTCTCTTCTCAGTACAGAGGCTAACCCCGTTCAGCAAGTCAGACATTGTCCATCTCCAATCGTAACAGTGTGGATGTCTTTATTATTTGAGCTGTTGACCGGATCGAAAAGAGCGTTCACACTGAGTTTAATCTGAATTGAAGTTAGAGTAACTCTTATTCCAGATTTAGGTGTCGCATTCAATTCGCTAAAAACCGAACTGAATATGAAATAACGAGTCCGGTTATTTTTCCAAAATCAGTCTGGAACAACTATTCCGAATTGGGTTATTCGCAGCAAAGATTTGGGTGTGGCTTACTTGATTCATAACAACGAGTCTACCAGAACTGAATAACTTTGCGCGTATGTCCACTTCTGCTTCGTTCTTGGGGGGCAACGGGTGTATGAAACGGCTGATGTTAATATTGTAAACAACCGAGGTATGGTTTAGGGCGAGGCACATTCTATACACAATATCAACAATTTAAATGATTTCATAAAAAAATGACAAAATTATAAATAATTGAAACATTCACAAAAAGAGCGGGATTTTTGTTAAAAGCGCTAAAACTGCTGCAAAAGGTGACAGGTAAGGAAAGATATATAGATATCTGCACCTCTTCATCGACCGATATCTCTCCAAAGTTGGAGAAGGGGAAGCCTCTCCGCCTTACCCCAAACCGTACCAGGTTGTTTGCCAGAAACATCAGTTTCATAAACACACGACCCCCCCCCCCCCCAAGCAATAAAACGGAAGTAGAAGTGAGCATGCACGCAAAATTATTCGGTTCCGGTAAACCCGCTGTTCTGAATCACGCGTGCCACACTCAAATTTTGACTGCGAATAACTTGATTCGGAATAGTTGTTCCAGATTGACTCGATTCAGCAATTTTGTTTCGCCAAATCTTATAGCGATTTTTTTCGCCAAATCTTATAGCGATTTTATTTTTCCAAATCTTATAGCGATTTTGTTTGTCTAAATCTTATAGCGATTTTGATG